ATTAACACACTTTTTAACCTCTCAGTGCAAATGCAAATAACTCAGTACTTCGAATATGCATCATGTTCAATATTATTTCTTTCTTTCAAAATGTGCCTCTACTGCCCTGGCCGCCTTGCACGAGCTGAACTTTATGGAAAATATTTGGGGATGCTTAAAAGAAAAAGTATTTAAAACTTGAAAGCAATACCCAACCGAGTCGAAACTAATTGAGAAAATAAAAAGTGCCTGGAAGACCATTTCACTAAATTATTTAAAGAAATTCGATTTTGAGAAGCCATAAAGAATGATTAGTTCGTTTTAAATCAGTTAAGAAAATGCAGAAATTAACATAAAAATGTGATTTTCTTATATTATTTATTTGATGTGATGTCACAAAAATAAAATAGAATTTTTGGTGTTGACTTTATTATAATTATATTAAAATATTAATTAGTAGATAAAGCTAATACGGGTAAATATTACTGCTGCTGGTTCTAATTTAATAATTGTTATTAGCTAAAAAGTCAGTTATTAGAAAAAAAGCATAGATTGTTTTAATCGATTGTGTTAATCGATTGTGTATATTTATACTTAAAAACTTAATGACAGTGATTAATTAAAACCCGCTGCATTAAGAATAAAATCATTTACTACCACATTATCAATTTTCCATTAAGCGAAAGCCTAAAGAAATAAAACGGTTTCATTAACACAAAAAATAGGGGCAGTAATCGGCAGTTGCTAAATAAGCAAGAGCTGAAAAACTTGTTTCTCTAAACACTCATACCTCTACAAAATAGAAAATTTCCAAAAATAAACCAATTATTAAACTGCTCGTTTCAAACTTAATTGAGAAACCAGCATGGTTTTGGCCAATAAATAAAGGCAACGTGAAGGAAAGAAACGAAAAGCAATGACATTTTTAATTCAATTAAATATTCAATGGACCTATCATTCACATAACCTCAAAGGGCTACAAAAACCGAAGCCAACTATTGCAGGCGCCTGTCCCCTGGCATCCGACGCGGCGTATGAGTAATTCAAACTATAATGCTTCAACTATTCATGACCAACCAGAATCTCTGGCTTTTAACTAACAAACTATTTGTGCAATCCACTACTAGCGAGTAGTGGAAAACGAGCCTGCAATTTCCGCATACGAGTCTAACTTCTATATAGTAAGAGTAAGAGTATGTCTATGTAATCACAAAATTTGCCACGTAACGCGAACAAAAGCTAAATAATAATAATAATAAAACAAGCAACAAGAAATGCGACAGAAATGCAGTAAAATGAAATGGAATGAAGGCAACGGATACTGGCCGAGTCAATATAAGGCTGTCAATATGTTTTGGCCCACGTAAACCAAACCCCAATGATTGCAGGTCAAATAAAATGGAAGTGGGGTGATGGTCAGGGGTCGCAGAGCGCCATAGTGGCTGCCCAATGAAGTCTATGCACGTCAAATTGCGGTCATAACGGACAAAAACAAGCCAAATAGCAGGCGCACTGCGCTACGGACCAAAAGCAAACAGCCACTCGTCCAACTACTCACGGCAATATGCACAGTAGGAGGCATTAATATGCTGACCAACAAATACTTGCATCGAGATTTGTTGATGGCCTTTTAATTTCTAAAAGAACAAACGCGGAAGACCCCATAAAGTGTATATTTTTAGCAACTAATTTTAATTTTTATTAATTAGTCCTGGAAAGGACATAATTTTAAAGTTCATTTCTTCAGCTATATTTCAGAAACGGACTCCTAAACAATTCCATTCAAGCTAGTCACAATATAACACACTTTTTAATGAAATTCATTTTAAATAAATAGCGAACTTTAACAATAAATAGTACACAAAAAAATCTCAATAAGAGCTGCTCTGAATTTGAAATGTAAAATATGTTTAAAGCTGATTAAAAGTTAAGCCAAAGATGATACAAATTTAATATACATTAACGAAAAATTATGGTTGTTTATTTTTTAATAAAAACCTGATAGAATGAAATCGTAGACAGACAACATAAAGTATATATTTTAAACAAAATTTAGAACGACTCGACTGTCACCTGTTGGTCTAAATGAAATTAAGGATAGATATAATCCAGAAAAGGACATAATTTTAAAGTTCATTTCTTCAGCGATATTTAACAAATTATGCAATCCTATTCAAGCTAATCGCAATTTACACACTTTTTAATGAAATCTTATTGAAAAATTTAATTGGAAATTAAGTATAAATGGTACACAAAAAAATCTCAATCAGAGCTGCTTTGAATTTGAAATGTTAAATGTATTTAAAGCTGATTACAACTTAAGCTAAATATGCCACAATTTAAATATACTTATATTCACAAAAAAAGTATGGCCTTTATTAAAAAGAAAAATAACTTGGAAAGTAAAAGGATATTATGAAATCATAGGCAGACCCCAAAGAGTATATATTTTAAACAAATCTGGTACGATTTTACTGTAAAATGGATGATTTGTCTGAATGAAATTAAGGACAGACATAATCCAGAAAAGGACACAATTTTGAAGCTAATTTCTTCAGCGATATTTAACAAGCCGACTATTATACAATTCCATTCAATCTAGTCACAATATAAAACACATTTTAATGAAATTAAATTTAAATAAATAGCGGACATTAAGAATAAATAGTATACCAAAAAAATTCTAATAGGATCTGCTTTCAATTGGAAATGAGATAGATGTTGAAAGCTGATTAAAACTTATGCCAACAAAAAAGTATATTTATAATTTTAGTTTAAAAAGTGGAATCAAATAAGGCTGCATATTTTATAGGAATATAAAGCTATCCAAATACTTTTGCCTACCAATGTGCTTGTGCACACTGCCTAGCGACGTGCATGTGTGATTGTTTGCCTAAATGTAACTATTACATTATTGCTGTTGGTTAAAGCCTCCATATCGTGCAATTCGTTTGTTTCAACCTCTGTGTATGTGTGTGTGTGAGTGTGATGTGTGTGTGTGTGTGTGTGTGCAAGTGCTGCATGCTTTGCAGATCATTTTGCGGTCGAAACCGCAGCCACAGCATCGCACAAATAAGAACAAATAGTGTTGGTGCAGGCCATGATTGTTGCGGCCCATCCAAGGATTCGGTCATGTCCATGCGTTGCCCTCCAGGTGGCAGACATAATAAAATTCGTTCAATTCCAATTCCAATTACACAAATTTTCATGAGTGTATCAGCCGTATGTATGTGTGTGTGGGGGATATATTGAATAGATACCATATTTGGGCTCCATTTGCCATTATTGCGACATAATTGTGCGATTCATTATCGGGCATTAAAGTGAGTTGGAGAAAAGGAAAATCTTAAATTTCAACAGAAAATGTGAAAATTGGAAAATACTTGACATCTATTAGCATGAAATTAACTATAATAGTATCAAGACTATTCATAAATGATAATTGTATTGTTTTACAGACTTTATCGCTTAATTTGACTTAGAAGTAATCGACGTTGTATATAGGCATCTAACTTGTTCAGGCTGCGGGTTAGAGGTGGAGAACTATCGATGGCACTATCGATAGTGATTTACTATCGAACTACCTTCGATGCCTTGCTTTAACGATAGTTTTAGATAGTTTTTCTTGAAAGCCATTCACTAAAAATTTGCACAATATAATTGTATATTAAACTTCTTAAAACAATTTAATTATATTTAATAAACAATATATTTGAAATTAAATTTGGCATTTGTTTTAAAAGGTTCAAGCATTTGCGTTTAATTTAATAGCATGTGAGTAGGAAGTAAATATTATACAAAAGAAGAGCAAAATATAGAAATTTTCCGAAGCTTAGAAATTCTTTAAAATGTCCATAAAAAAGCTTAACAAGCTGCGGACAGAAAACAAGAAAAGCTGCCTCAAATTAATAAGACCATTTAAAAAGATTTCACCCTGACCTGAATAGTCCTGTTACTGAATCCATCACCAATGCTATAGTAGTAACAGATTCATATCCATCATGTTCAATCCATCCATGGTTTAATATGAATCTAATATTCTTCAGTAAGTCGTCTAAAAGAAATATATAATTTTGTTGCTCTTTTTAAATAACAACACATTGCTTATAACAAAGTATATATAGATAATTCTGTGTATGAATCCATACTTTCTATTTTAATAATCCCGACTTTTATTTATATATTAATATTCCCCTTTTTTGGATTGATATATAATTTAAAACTAACTTGTATTTTAAAACATGTTCTTTTTAAATCAACTATCTAAAACTATTGATAAGACTATCGTTGGTTTTCTTAAAACAATCGATATTTCTCCACTTCTACTGGGAGTTGTCTGGGACCCAAAAATTAATTGTATGATTAAAGCTATAAAAATGCCAGCACATCAAAGGGAGAGGAAATGCTCTACCTGTTCACACGTAACCTTAATTGGTGATTTTTTTTTTTGTATCAAAACATACACAATTTAATTGCCATTAATAAATAAATAAATACAAAGTCAACACTAATTATTTAGTTGAAAATGTTTGCTCCACCAAAAGTATAATATATATATATATAATATATATAATATATATGAATAATACTTGTTTCTCCAACATATTCCTCATTGCGCTATTGAGCAGAATTTTGTAAATGCATGGAATTAATTATGAAAACTGCTAACCTGGCCGCATTACATAATTAATTTGCCTGTGAATAATATTAATAAAACAGTATTGCTAGCTCTGCTATTTAAAAAATGATTTCCCCCGCAGCCATGTCAACAATTCAATGGCGCTTCACGCTTCCGCTGTTTGGCCGGAAAAACTTTTTTCAAAAACGAAAATAGAGCTGCGGCAATAGTTGGCGCAAAATAAAAATAAAAACAGAAACAAAAACAAAAATAAAACCTGCTCGTATTTTAATGAATAATAAATTGCATATGGAGTTTAATGGAGTTGGTAGTTCTGTTGTTGTTCTTGCTGTTGTTATTGTTCTAACTTGCTGTTTGTTGTTTGTTTGCACTTGCAGGACGAAAAAAATCAACTGCTGGTTACAAATGTGTGGCTGAAGCTCGAATGGAACGACATGAACCTGCGCTGGAATACTTCGGACTATGGTGGGGTCAAGGACTTGCGTATACCGCCGCATCGCATATGGAAGCCCGACGTCCTCATGTACAATAGTGCTGATGAGGGCTTCGACGGCACCTACCAGACGAACGTGGTGGTCCGGAATAATGGCTCGTGTCTGTATGTGCCACCGGGAATCTTTAAATCGACGTGCAAAATCGATATCACGTGGTTTCCATTCGACGACCAGCGCTGCGAAATGAAATTTGGCAGTTGGACCTATGATGGATTTCAGGTTTGATTCAGACATCCACACACTACTCATACACTCATACACCCATACACACACACATATATATATATATGTATAATGAAAATAGTCCAGGAAGTACTTTGAAGTCATATACTTAAATATGCTTTCTGTTATTATTTCATAGTTTCATGATTTGCCTTTTGTTGTTGCCTTTTGAACGAGGAGACGGTTATTTAAAATATTCTACCCTTCTCCCTTATATTTATGTATGTGTATGAAAAATATTATTGAAATGAACAACACAGCTGGATTTACAATTACAAGATGAAACTGGCGGTGATATCAGCAGTTACGTGCTCAACGGCGAGTGGGAACTACTGGGTGAGTAAGCCAACATATAACTCAGTGGGGCTGAATAATTGGCTCCGGTCTGAGGCAGATAGCAAACGTTGGTTTTAAAGTGACTCACGTTCAGGAATGAAATGAAATGTAAACACACAGGCGCGCGCACGCACACACACACACACACGCGCTTAAACAGTATCTACTTTGAAAAGAACTGAAAAAGCTAGAGCAACTGAAAAATGGCTGAAGAATTCATTTCATTGCGAAAGTGTGTGTGTCTGTCTGTGTGTGTGTGTGTGCGTGTGTGTGTTTGTGTGAGAGATTTTCCTGTTCATCATCCTTTGTCTCTTCTACTGCTTAGGCAGCAGCATCCATTTGCTGGGGCAAAACTATTGTATTTTTCATTTTTATCTTCTGTTGCCTTAGTGGCCCATAAGTTGGCCGACCAGCCAGCCAAGTAGTCATACATCTTGCCAATGGCTAACACATTCCTATTGCGCTTTAAACGCGCTGGCCACTAACTTGTTTGGTTAGTTTTTCAGAGCGCGCGTTGTGATTTACGTACGCATTAAGCCTTGGCACGGCGTTATTTATGCGCCCCAAACGCACATTCATATAAAAAAAAACAAAAAAAAAAGCCAGAAAACAGCAGCTCAGAAGTCCGACAGACAACAACAGGCTATAACAGAGTTTCTCACTTCACTCTCTCCCTCTCACTCTCTATCTCTCTCGCTCTATATATATACAACAAACAGACTTCTAACACATTCCACGTGCCACACTTGTATGGCTTTTGGCTACGCACTGAAGTTCCGTACTCGTTCCGTTCGAAACTCATACTGTGAAGAAAACTTGTGATATGCTCGTAATTGATTGAAAGATTGTTACAATATATTATTATTTTACCTAACAATATATGTATCTATATATTAAACCGATTAAGCCATGGATTGTGGTGTGAAAAGTAAAACAACTACGTAATTCATTTTTGGTTAAGAGAATAAACCGGAATAACGATTACTTTTTAATTTCATCCATTTTCTTAAAATATAATGATTAATTTTGAGTCATACTTTAAGCTTTATTTTTTTTTTGATCAAATATAAAACTCAAGACTCATGAGTTGTGGTGTGAAAAGTTAAACAACTAAATAATTCATTTTAGGTTAAGAGAATAAATCGGGGTCTATAAACATTATAAGTGTTATTATAAAAATTACGATTTTTTTTAATCTCATTAATTTTCTTACACTATAATCGTTTATTATAAGTTGTGCTTTAAGTTGTAATTTGTTTCATCAAATATAAAACTCGAGTTTCAATTTTGCCTGAATATATTTTTTAAGGATATTTTCTTTAGCCTAAAACTGTACTTGACTTAATGTTTAAGGATAAATGTTATCCCTATTCCTCATGAAAAGGGCAGGGAAACTTAAAACTTGAGTTTTATTTTTGATCGAAAAATAACTTTTAAAGAACAAACATATTTTTGGAGTGTTATTTTTTTACTTAAAAATAAAGCATAACTCGAAATAAATCATTATATATTATAAGAGAACGAATAAAAATAAAAATTTTAAAATCAATGCGAATATGCACAGATAACCCTAAAAGAATGTTGGCATAAATGCTTTTTCGCTTTGTAAAATAAACAAAAAAAATCACTAAATGCAGTCCCTGGAATAAATATTTTCCAATTTATATCCGATATTTAAGTAAATTATTTATTCTACAACTTTGGACAGCTAATTTCTTTTCTACTAGTTTAAATCTACTTTTCAAAAATTAAGAACAATTTTTCAGTCAATTTATGAACAAAAAACAAGTTGCTTATACATTTATTTTCTATTTAAGTTTTAAGTCAACGACCTCGAACTTTGGTACGTAGCCGAAAATACTCGTATTCGTATTCGTATTCTATTTCGAACATTCTTCAATTCTTCATCTTATTTCTATGTACTGTCACTTCCTTCACTCACTCCTCTCTCGAACAACAAAATTCGATCGTCAACTTAACTTACACACTTATCCAGTGTTCTCCCACTCACTCACTCTGACAACTCTACTATGATAAACAAAAAGAAACAGCCTAATACTAAATGAACAGCATACATAAAACGGCATAAATCATAAAATAATACAAACATATAACAATTGTGAAGCATACATCTGGGCGCTTTAACTTTTCAAGTCTGAAATAGCCGCGTAAACGATTCGTTTACAAACAGCCAGGCTGTAATTTATTGCACGGCAACATAGAAGCATTCTTTTGTCGCGTCTTAAGTATGCTCTTATGATTGCACGTGAGACCCTTGAAATCCAATACAAAATACAAAAATATGGAGGTAAGCTTTGGCCCATGTATGCAAATCATTAGCGATTTTTAAAAATTAATCTTTTTGCTGAATGCTCTCTCATGGCATGTTAAGGTGCTCGAGTATGCAAAGAATCTATTAAACAACAACAAACTAGCGTCTAACTAATGAATGACACTTTTTGCATTTTGCTTAGCTTTTAAGTTGAAGGATATGCTAGGACTAACAATTGAAAATGATGCGCTCGTTTGCTTAATTCTCCACAGAAATTGCATGTCATGGTAGCGTGCTTGAACTGAGACAGCAAATTAAAAATAGCAATTCATTTGAGACGACGAACGAACAAACGAACAAACGGACAAACAAACGGACGACCAAAAATAGAACCAAAACGAAAAAACAAAAAAACACAAGAGAGCGAAAATTACAAAACGTATGAAAGAAATTAAAATGAAGAAAAGACTTACTAAGCGTAAATTGCACTTTTGCGGCATAAAACGCCAACATCAACACCCACCATAGATAAACTTTAGCTAGGAGCCACACACACACACACACACACACAGACACAACACCCGAAAACACACACAAACACACACTCGTGTAGCAGCATCACTCATTCATGCTCTCTCCAGTAGTTGGGCAACAGCCAGCCACGCACCAAACCAATTAAGAAATTAAAAGACAAATACTTTTGCTGCAAAATACACACAGATAGACACACTCATTTACTCTTGCTGCGGCCACTATAAATTAGCACAAGCACACACACACACACACACACACACACACACACACACACACATACACACACACACTCATTCGCACACTCACTCACTCACTCATGCTCTTCACAGTCACAGCTCTAACTGAAAACTTCTCCACTTACTCACCACAAAAGTTCACTACAAAAGTGCTGAGAAAGTTTGCGCAGCAAATTTTATTTTCACTCGCCTTCTTCTTCTTCTTCTTCTTCTTCTCCAACAACTCTCTTCTATATTTTGTACTTTTTTTAAGTTTTGGCTTTTTTTCTTGATTTCATTTGTTTGTGTGTGTAATTTTTGGAGTTGCTGGCCATGTTTTCCGGGCGCTTTTCAATGCGCATTTGTGGTCTGCGTCCGCCTTGTTGGCAGTTTATGCAAATTATTTGAGTTCGCAGTTGTACTGTGAGGCAAGGGGCAAGTAGGTAGTTTATTTTTTTAGTTTAAATAATCTAGTAAGGCGTATTGTTGCGGTTGAGTTTGGTAATCCCTTCGGTAATCTGCGTCTAGGCCGGGCAAATAATTTTGCTGGCATATGGAAAAGAAAAGGTTTTCTTTTTAGATATTAACTCTTAGCTGAATTCTAGTTCTGTCTAAATAATATAATATATAAATATAATAGTTTTAAAATTGTTATCTAACAATTTTCTTCAGTAAGATTTTTCTTGCAATTTTTTAAAAGATAATTTAAATTTATATTTGTGCAGTTTAAAAATGTAAACTAGATTTATAAAATTGTGCTCCTCTAAGCCTTCCTTCAGGGAATTTAAATAAAATGACACTAGAATGTCAGAATAAAGTATTTTTAAAGCAAGAGTACACAGCATAAATAGTTGGAAGCTCAGCTCTCTAATTCTTAACTTTTGTTTAGGAAAGTATAGTTAAATATTTAAACAAGCTCCCAGCATAATTTTAACAGAGTCTCATTATGAATACAATTGACAGATTATGACACTCTTTCCCTAGAAACTCTTTTATAAAAAAGTCTTTAAACTAATTAACAGTTCTTCAGTTTTCCCTTCAAATCGCAAAACGAGCGTAGCAATTTCCTTTTCCATAAAACTTATATTTAGGAAGCGCGTTTAAGTACGCTTTGTAACGGCATTTATTTGTGCACTTTATTCTTCTAACTATTCGCTCTTTTTTGTTCCATTTATTTGCCTATTTTCATTTATTTAATGTAAATCCCACTTTCTTTACAAGTGCCCGCCAAATAGGAGGGGAAATGCTAAAGGGTTGCATTTCAATTCTAAAACTCGAATAGGCATCATGAAAGCATTTCAATATCATTTGGAGTAACCCAAGCCGGAAGCACCACTAGACAAATTTTTGTATTTGCACAGAATTGTATTTCATTTAACAGTCATTTACACTGCATGCTGCATACTCTATGCTTTTAACATTTCATATTTTTACATTTCATCAAACCAATACTATTCTTCTACCACAAAAAAACACCAAAAATGAAAATAAATGAACCCAAATGTAAATGCGGAGTTTCTTTCCCCACTTTGCTCTTCACTTCACTTTACTATGCTCCTGTTTTTACGCTTTATTCCAAACTCCTAATGCCTTACTACTCCACAACTTGCTATACTCGTATATTCTGTACTTGCGCTTTCCTCAACTTATGCTACATACTACTCGTATACTATAGATAAATGCTCTTGAGTCTTGAACCGCCTGACAAAGTCTAAGTAAAAAGCTGCCACAGATATTAATCCAGATGCCATATACTTTATCAAACGGAAGTGAACGTTCACTAATACTTTGGAATTATCTGCAGGTGTGCCTGGCAAACGTAACGAGATCTACTACAATTGCTGCCCGGAACCATATATAGATATAACATTCGCCATTATCATACGGCGTCGCACGTTATACTATTTTTTTAATTTGATTATACCCTGCGTTCTGATTGCGTCGATGGCGTTGTTGGGCTTTACACTGCCACCGGATTCGGGTGAAAAGCTATCGTTGGGTAAGTAGAGCTTAAACAATAAGCTAACAACTAAATACAGTGGCGGCAATATTAAAACTGACATCATAGATAAAGGGAAAATATGAAAATAGCTGAAACTAACAATATAAGTATGTTATCATTTAGCAATGTAAAGCGATGATATTATATATCACCAATTAGTTCAAAATTTTTATGGCCCGGTTCAGTTTTTTAAGTCATGCTGAACAATCAAAATAGATCTCCCAATGAGAGCTCATCCCCTTATAATAAAAATTTGAAAATATAAAAACACATTGGTTTAAGGTAAAAAAAAAAAACAATTATAAGTGTGTGATATAAATATATTTTCATTCATTTCGCATTTTCTTTTATATTAGAAATTATCGAAAATTATTCTTAATACAGATTTTAAACATTTTATTTAAAAATCATGACAGTATGCTATCAGAAGAAGATATTGCTGAAATCTCTTCAACATCTGTCAGGATTATAGCATTTGATTTATCCGAAAAGCACTAACATGTCATTAGAAATTATTCATTACATTATTTTGAGGAATATTTTAAACTGCAAGTTTCCTTTAAGCCAACATTAATTCATTCAAAATATTTAAGGTCCATCATGGCCTACCAGATCTAGTCTAAGTAAACAATTCCTTTTTTTGGATATTGTTATGCCAGCTACAAGTTAGATTTATCTCCAGCGGTCAAGGATATGTAACGTTTAATAAAATGTGTTTGCTATGATTAAGATTATATTTAAGTTCATTTACACCAGCTTAAAACTATCTGAAAGCGGAGTTATATATAATATCAGCCATTACACGAAGAAAACAAAAAGTTCATAACTGCTTTTGTGGAGTTTTTTGGAGAAAATGTTTGCAAATATTATTGCTCTACTGGAAAAGGTAACTTTTGGCTAGTGTTGAGTGACTTTTAAAGCCAATCAAATGTTCCATCAGTCGCTTATCAGCAAGATGATTTAGTTGGTTTAGTTTAGTTGCTAATTAAGAGCTGCATTAAGTATTAAATTAAAGTTAGAATTCTGGAAAACAGGTCACATCTTTTCAGTTCTATTTATATACATACATGTGCACAGCTCCTGTGGGGGGACTATAAATAGGTATTAGCAGCATCTAGCTGTCTGCACTTGAATTGCCGCCACTGTATGGACACTTAATTATGGCAGAGTATTTAGTGCAGCGCCTGAAAGCGTGCTACGGCTTAGAGAACTACTCGTACAGCGTTGACTCAAAATGAACTACATTAATTTAAATCCACTTAGGCAATACAAATACTTATGAAAGGCAACAACAGTAACAGCAGCGGCGTTGGCAGAGCTCAGCACAAGCACACAAATAAACACACACACACACACAGAGAGAGAGAGAGAGAGAGAAACATAGACACACACACACACATTTACACGTGCCTCACACATGCAAACAGCTTAAGTGGCGCTTCGAAAAGTATTTGCAAAGTACTTTTTAAATAATGACAACGTCGACAACAACCAAGGCGGTTGCTCACCCGCACCTTCTACCCGCCAGGTGGCTGGCTCTCCCCGTCCCCCACGAATTTAAAATTAGATGCCGTTGCGCGAGTCCCGCTCTCTTCGCCAAAAACAAAAAAAAAAAAAAGAATCCCTCAGCATGCCGATGATGAGTGCTTGGAGAGCGTGATGACGAGCATGACTGACGTCGCACATTAGGCGTTAGTGCCATCGCCATTGCCGCTATCGACAATCTCGATGATGAGCATAATGATTACGTTACTGCTGCTGTTACTGCTGCTGCTATTGCTGTTGTTGTTGTTGTTGCAGTTGCTGTTGCTATTGGGGGTGTTGTTGTTGTCTCGATGAGTCAACCGTCTGCCTCTCGTAAACAAAAAAAAAAAAAAAACAACAAACTATTGAACTTTTAATGTTGCCATGACTTGAGGGTTGTAAAAGGGCGCCTTGCATTGGGGCTGAAAAGTCCGAGCAGCCGAGCAGTTACCGACTGAACGAAATGTGTTGTAAATGACAGACGACGAGGACACTTGGTGTTAATGTATTGAAACGCGTATTCGCAGTATTTTAAGAAATATATACTTCTATACTATACTTCTATACTAAGCAACTAAATAATAGACAAATGTTTAAGTGACTTCCACTAAATACTACACCACTTTCGTCTCACATAATTTATTTAGGCGTCACCATCTTACTCTCCCTGACTGTGTTTCTCAATATGGTCGCCGAGACGATGCCGGCAACCTCAGATGCCGTGCCCCTGCTAGGTAAGATCATTTTGTTTACCATCTATTGTTCTATTCGATCGATGCTTTTTATAACTGTTTATACTAGTATATTGCTGTGTGCCTACGTAAAATATATAACGTATATTTTTCATTTATCGTACATTCGTTTCGTGTGTGTTTTTCTTTTTTATAAACTATTCCATCAAAAATAAAACTATATCCTTAAAGTTATATCAGTTACCTATTCATAGTCATGCATTTCTAAAACGATTTTAAAGCCATATAAAATCCGATGATCTTATAATATTAAAACTTTGACACACCATTAACAAATTTCAATTAAAAGGTCAGCCAAGTCCAACAAAATTTCAATTCTGCTTCTGCTCTCAAGCCAAACTACTTTAAATGCAGTTTGGCTTGAATTGCAAGGCATGGCTTGTGCTGACGCTCACAAAAAAAAAAAAAATATATATAAACGTGTAAAAGAGTTTAAAATATTGTAGAGAAAGAAAAATAATTAGTTAAAAAGTAGGGCATAATACCTTAACTATATATTCTATATAGAAATATTCAAATATACTCCATTAAAGGCGAAATATACACGAGTTGGTTTGAAAAATGCACACACATACTTGAAAACGAGTTATTTGCACGACATTTCGTTTATATTCAATATTTTTTCAAGAACTTATCGATTCACTGAACTGTTCCAACAGAATTTTTAATAACAATACAGTTTCTTTCAATAATTGGCAAAAAATTCTAATTTATTATCCAAAATGTCGAGAATTTGTAGTTTTATTTCAACAAATTCAAACAAACACCGAATATACTACTAATATTATTATAAAAAACTCAAATATCCAAATGGAAATGTCGGCCATATTCGACTTTGAGATGCCCTTTACCTTTTTTGGTTTTGAAATGTAAGCATTTCTAATAAAACCGAATAACTTTAGTTTAAAAAAAAAGCTCAAAGAAAAAGAAAACTTTAACATTAATTTGATGGTATTTTTAGAGGCCGTATGAAAACGTAAATAAATCCAATGGCCCACTATAATTTGAATGACTGTAGGAGAGGGGTAGTCCTTTTCAAGTATCAATGCTCCCTTCAAGTTGTACTCCAGTCATAATTGTTTCCTTAATCTATCTTAAAAATTTTAAGACCGATTTCTAGCAGAGTTAAAGAAAGTTTTGCTAAAAGTCAGTAATATCTTACAGGTTTAATTTATAAATGCCAGTACATATATTAATTAATGTAATTCATTCATACCTTCTTTCAATTTTTGATCGATTTATTATTGGCATTTGAACAAGCTTAAAACGCTTCTTATTCAGATTATTCCAAAAGGAATCACGTCAAGTCTAAGAAAAAATTTTGCAATATATTCAACTCTTTTAATTCCTCTTAGCTTAAATACTTTCTAAACTATATTCCTAGATTACTTCTGAACCATTTGAAGTTACCTGAAAATACTGAAATAATACACTTGGCTATGAAGAGACTGTGGGAGTTAAAAAATGTTAAAATGTTGAATTAAACTCTAATGGGTAGAGGGTGTTTAAACGTATTTGAATAATAATCGTAGTCACAAGAAAGTATATGCCTTAATTGTTATATAAAACATATCCAACAATAATTGAAAATTGTTTTACAATTTTTTGAAGATTCCTTCAGAGTACTTAATATCCTATTTAATTGTTATTATCCTCATATTTAAATGTTTCCTTCAATGAATAAACAGATATTAATCGTAAATTTAAAACATTTAAAGTTACCTCTGTGTGTGTGCGTTCAAATCAATATAATAATATCTATATTAATAATAATCTTAAAGCTTTGTTTATTCAAATTAAAAATACTCGAAACGATAATTGTAAAGCTTACCAGATTTGCATTAACTAACTCAAATATTTGTATATATCTTTGCCCTTTTTTCTTTCTTTCAAAAAACTGTGTACTTTTTGTCATACTCTCTCAAAATGCATTTGAAAAAAAACTAAAAACAAAAAAAAATATATACAAACACTGAATGAATTCTGAACGAATTATGCTACCGCTACCTTGAATTATGCTCGACAACTAACCCACCAACAAACCAACAAACCAACAAAAAACAAACCAAACAACTCCTGCTACTTGATACTTGAACCAAAATACACTACTTGGCACAACACTAACTCCAAATCCACGCAACTCTAAACACACTCCAACAACAAACAAACAAACAAATATTGAATACGCATATATATCAATATACGAACAACTTTTATATATATTGACAACACGCCCAACCAACCAACAGGTACATATTTCAATTGCATAATGTTTATGGTAGCTTCATCCGTTGTGTCAACGATTTTAATATTAAATTATCATCATCGAAATGCTGATACGCACGAAATGTCCGAATGGGTAAGTTTCAAATAGGTCAACAGCACAAAAAAAAAAACAAAACCAAAAAAAAAAAAACCATACAACCCCCCATTGTATTGTGTACAAAAAGCAGCCCCCTCTGGGCCACCAACAAACAAGAATCAAGCAACCAACAAACAAGAAAAAACACTGCAAAAGCGACCATCATTCATTTAAACGCAGCCTGCAGCTGGACACAGCAGCATCATTAAACGATAATGATGTTCCTGATGACAATGACGATGACGATGATGATGATGAAGTTGGGCATCTCATTCGTGAGCTGCTGTGTCCACTGTCGCATTGCATTAGCATTTCTAATTTGATTTATTTCTGCCTCGACATGAGACCACTGCATATTTTCAAAAACGCGCTCAATTATTTATGTGTTAGTTGTACAAAAACCAAAAACAAAAACCAAAAACCAAAAACAGAGAGAGAAGAGGTATTACTGTTTTAAGTTGTTGTGTGCCTCTTTTCGTTTAATGTTGTGATATCAAAAGCAAAAATTATAAGTACAATTACATTTGTTTTTCAATATACATATATTCTTATTATTTTTACACCCATGGCCAATATAGTAAGAGTGAGAAACCACATGCTATGTAGTTTCCGGCTTGCCGATATTGTGTTGTGCACTTCACATGGCGATGGTTACTTGACAAGATTATAGAAATAATGATACCCTTTCAAACGCCAATATAGTTTAAATATTCTCAATATTCCATTGTCTTTTTATTGACCCAACTACATAAGAAAAATAGATCTGCCTATAAACGAAATATATTGCTTCTCTGCAAACAAATGTTATCATCCCAAGGTCGGAGGCGTTAATTAGAAATTATTGTAATTAGATTATATTTCTCCTTCTTAGACTTTTCTAGCTGTTGAGATGCTTTTTATAATTTTTATATATTTTCCTCATATGTCGACAGTCAAATGATTGTTGAAATAAAAAAATAAACAAATAAATAAAATTATTTTCTTGTCGCTTCTAATTAGGTTGTTAGTTCTTTCTTTGAGTTTATTTAATTCAACAAGTCGCTCTTCTTTGCATAATGGGAAGATAGAAATTTAGATAGCAGATGAACACATCATTTTCATTATTCTTGGGCTAAGAACAATGCACCAATTCTATTAAAGACACCGACTAGTTTTAAAGATTTTTCCACAAACATAGAACTTTAACACAAGCTTAAAGAAAGTTGAATAGAAGACGATTATAAATTCATAAATTCTCGAATATAAAAAGCGAATATAAAAGCTGCAACGATTATAAATTCATAAATTCTCGAATATAAAAAGCAAGACGATTATATTTTCATCAAAATTCTCGGATATAAAAAGCTGCAACATATCGATGCACTTATTAGTAATATCAGTAAATAGTTTTAAAGATGCCCTTAATGTTATTTTTTTTTTTATTCCAAAAGTTGGTTAATCATTTTTACCAATTTGTTCTCTCTAGACTCTAGTCTAATGGTATTTCAATCGGTAGAATTGTGGTATTAGGCAAGCCATATCATATTTCTAGTTGTATATATAATAGTCAGAAATTGAAAAGGGCGGCAGTTTTCAGTGTTCGTGGAAGTAATATACCTTTCTTAGTAGTAATGTTGGTCCTCAAAGCTATAGCCAAGCAGATATGAGTAATCCCATTGATGATTCCATTTCATTTTCTGATCAGCTGTAATATTAATTAGTGGCATTCGTATATTACGCCGTTCTAAGCCATTTGGTTTATTTAATCTGCAATATAATTTCTTTAGAGTTTTTCCCACTGCTATGAAATCATCTCTTAGATAAGCATAATTATAGTTTCATTTTCTGATCAGCTGTAATATGTATTATTTAAGCCATTTGGTTTATTTAATCTGCAATATAATTTCTTTAGAGTTTAGATAAACATAATTATAGTTAACAATAATTAATGGACACCTTCAATAAAAGCTCTTTAAAGTCTTTAAACTTGAGTGGCAGAGATTAGCGTGGAATCAGAAATAGTGTCTAATAATAGTCTATTATTCAGTTCCCCCACTAACAGACCTTGTTATTGCCACCAAGATGCCATTGCAATGTTCTGAAGTGCACAACAAAATGTAGATACACACACACACACACACACACACACACACTCATACCACTCGTACTTATAAATACACTCGATTGCAAACGCAAATAGTCGCACAATATATTTGTTATTGTTGTTCTTGTTGTTTTAATATGATTGTTATTATTGTTGCAGTTTGTTGTTGTCGTCGTTGTTGTATTTTTTCCCACTGGTTTCATTTGACTTTTGTGTTCGGTGTAAAGCCTGCTTAGAGGCGCTTATGCAAGCTATTAGTTTACACATTCAATTGTTTTGTTGTCCTTTTGTGTATTTATTGTTTCAGTTTGTTGTTAGTACTACTACTGTACTACTACTATATAGCGCAATGTGAGTTACGTTTAGTTAATGTGTGTGTGACCCATAAGACATAATATAATCAACAGAAATACAAGCAAAGCAGAAATGAAAATCTCAAAAAATAGAATGTAAAAAAAACAAAAAAAAAAAAAAAGAACCCAATCCACATGAACCCAAGCCAGAAAGAAATACCGAACCAAATGTGACGGACGGATGTACAGAGTACAAATGATGTATGTTGTAACCAGCCAACATGTCTGCTACTAAACGTGTCTACTATAAAATAATTTATGTAATGAAAAATATCGTAATGTTGATGTTGGGCCATATTTTCTATTTATACTTATATAAGCTGATGTCACTCTGTACAACCCAATCCAACACCAAAATCCTCTAGCAAGCAACCAACCCAACCACCCAACCACCCAACCACCAACCAGCCAACCCACCAACTAACCAACCACTGCTGTGTCTCTTAACTTGTCACCAGTTGCACAAGCTTTTTCCCATTTATTTATGTACAAAAAAAAAAGAGCAAAAGAAAACATGAAAGCCAACAGAAAAGAGTTGCGGAAAATGCAGAAAACAATTTCGTATGCAAAATACGAGAAAAGTAAATGGAATTTGTCATCTATGTCTATATCTTTTATTTCTCTGTGTAATTATTTATGTGAATGCTCAATATTCTGGTTTATGTTGTATGTAGTGGTTGGAATTTTTAACTAATTGTGTAATTCAGAAAGTATGCAGACTGTGGTGTGTGTGTGGAATGGAATAAAAGGAATGAAGGACGAGTGTGGATGTGGATTGCTGATATATAATATTCTTTGTTCTCTCATTACAAATAATGCCTGCAAAGTACACAAGCGTATTAAAAGGAATGTATGTATGTAATTGTGTGGAGACAGCTGTTAGTTTAAATAAATAAAATACATTTTCAATATTTGCCTATTATTTTATATTTTTATTGTTTCCAGAATCTGCATTGACAAAAAAAACTTTGCATATATTTTAAATATGAGTTGGCGTTCTATGGTCCGCTTAGTGGCCGTCGCCGAGTTTTAAACTGATTGCAAATGGAAAACAAAACAATGTGGTTTTTTAAAATTAAAATGCATATATATCGCTAGATATAGCTCTCTTTCAGGGCACAGCCGTGCAATATTATTTGAGAGCGAATTTATCGTCAGAGAGGCAATTGGGGAGACACTGTTTATAGATATATGGCTCTATTAGCAGCATCTAAGCCGCTCCTTATTCCAGAAAGAATTTAAATGTAGTTAAGTGAGAGGCCAGTGTCCTACAACACTCTTTATAGACATACGGTCCTATTAACAGCATCTAAGCAGCTCTTCATTTACAAAATTAAAAGTCGAACTTTTTCTTACCCCTGAGTCTTGATTTGCGGAAATCGAAAGGCGATCGATCAATCAATCAATCAGCTTATAGGCCGGTGGCTTCAACTGACCGTTCTTCTTCAAAATGCTTCCAATATCTAGCTATTAGGTTTCTAGAGAGGAGAAAAATGGCGCCACTTGCTATTCTACTAAACGAACTATCGACTTATTGAATTAAGATAAACAATAAATTTGAAATAAAATAAATATTTTAGAAATAAATAAATAATAAATAACCATTATTAGCATTATAATTCATATTATTAAATAACTTAAATTAAAAATCTGTATGAAAAAGTAAATGTTAGCTGATTAAATAATAAATAAATAATAATAATAAATAATGATATCTAATTCGGAAATATTATTTTAATTTGTATTTTTTAAATTTTATGTTGATGTTTTCGAATATCGCTTTAGTTTTGTTTACAAAAATAATTAAAACAAATTGAATCCGTTGCCTGGCAACCACATTTGCTATAATTCCTCTATCATAAAATCTGTGGTCCATTCTGCTGAAAAACGGGGCACTTCTGCATTGATAGCAATTTTTTAATCATAACATCCCAACCAAGCTCCTTGAATTGCTACTAGAGGAACTATCGACTTATTGAAGAAAGGAGTTTATTACAAAACTGAATCCGTTGCCTGGCCACCATATTTGCATTAATTCCTCTCTGAAAAAGCCTTTGGTCCTTTTCGTTTTGTTATTATGGAAAAAAAATCAGCAGAATTACCAGCAAGTCATTATTCACACATACATATGTGAGGGTTTTGACAACGCCTTCTCAACTGCTCTCTTCTTGACAAACGCTAGCTTTAAAGAGTCCAATTATTGGCAATAGAGGCTTAAATTTAATGGAAGGAGCTTATGGTAGATGATTCAAATGCACAGGAAAAACTTCCTAGCTAGAACACTGCACTATTTAGCTAAGACATTTCTCTATAATATCTAACAGTTTTTCCAGCACTTAAAGCATATTTAGATGTATTGTTTCAGAGCTAAAACACTTTTCTATTATAATCAAATAATTTGCTCCTGAAATCATGATGCAACAAGAATATAAAAACCATGTAATTAAATGATTTTGAATTTGGCTTAGTGTTGCTCTCAGGCAGGCTTAAAGGTAAATTTGATCAAAAGGCTTTAACAAACTATATCCAACAACAATGTTCAGGCATTTAATGGACTTCAAATACTCGAAGCTCTGCTTTTTAGTGAAGTTTATGCCAAAAATGTTGGAGGAAGTTTCCGCCGAGGCTCAATTGAACATATCATGGCACTTCTTGCACAAATGGCAAGAAATTACATATTATTGCCATGGTCTGAGCTGAATAATGCAAACTTTCTGAAGCTTCTAGCCTGCCTTTAGTTGGAAAAGGAGCGAGAAAGCCCAACTTAGCGCCGTGCAAGTCAATTGGCTTTCAAGAAGTCACTCAAATGAAAAGTTCAGCTTGTTTTTTTTCTCTTGGCGGCGGCAGTCAGAGACCAAGACGTTAGTTTTCCTTTTGCCCACCTGCTCGACACATGCAATTGAATTGGGAACAAATTTCTAACAACAGAGTGTAGCAGAGGTCTCTGAAAAGGAACCAAATCGAGCACAAACACACAAAGTGGCAGGCAGAGTCGCTGTCGACGGTGACAGTTGGCCCAATTGCGAGTTGTCGTGACACAGACTCAAAAATTGAGGAAATTGGCGAGCAGGCGAGCAGGCAGTGGCATTAGAAATGCGAGGAGTGGTCTCGACAACTTGCAGTTCTCAATTCTGAGTGTGTGTGCACAACTTCAAATGCTTGTTCCTGTCGTGTTAGCAACGCGCACAGCCCAAAAGAGCTAGACTGTGTATCCTTCCGCCGGGCACAGTGGACGAAAGCGGATAAACTAAACATTAAATGAAGTTCTTCCTTGCATTTTCTCCGTTCCTCATGCATCGAGTTAACGACGAGAGCGAGAAAATTAACGACAATTTCGATATTTTAAAAGTAATTGATTAATATTTTAATCAAACATTTCAAATATTACTTCCATATTCATTTAAATAATGGTTCTAATCGTTCCGTTTCAATAGAACTGATTTCGTTGTTTCTATCAAACATGTTTAAAGACAGTTCCGATATTTTTAAGTAAGCGATTAATATTTTAATCAAACATTTCAAATAATACGTTATATTCATATATATTTATATATATATTCTATAAAATTGATTTGAAATTTAACTTAACTTTTATTTTTATTTATATTTTATTTTCTAGACTATGACGTCAAAAGAATATTTTATTTTCGAATTAAAACAACTTGTCAGAGCTTGGATTTTTATGAAGCCGCAAAATCTTAGTTTTTTGTATCCAATTCTTTTCAACAATTTCGAAAACGAGCGCTATTCAGAGACTTCCTGATAACTTTTAATGCTAACCTTTTCAATAATTTAAATTCAAATCCTTCTGTTAATTAGGTATTAGGTTGTGAGGTATGTCCCTATATACAAGTATTTTGATCTTCAATTTCGACCACTGTGCCTCGCCCGCTTGGCTGATAACAACAAATCAATTTGCACAAAATTTGCACAAAATGCAGTGAGCCATAAGTGCGGCTCATTGGGCTAGCGGTTGAGAGGGCGGTTGAGGGGGCGTGGCCGGTCATGCCAGAACTCCTTCTCATGTTCATGCTCGTCCATATATTGATGTGGATATGGATATGGCCGAGCCATGCTATGCCGTGGCGTCGCGTCGCGTCGGCATTCTTATCGTTAACTTTGCATTTATTTTGCATACACTTGGCAAGTATGTGTGAGAGAGTGTATGTGTGTGGCGGCTGCATTTGAATACGTTTGTGAAGTGAAATTTCATGTTGGATGCCAACGTCACCGTTGCCGCTTGTTAGCCAAAGCCAAAGGGACAGACGGGGCTGATGTAGACTGATAGGGACGCTGGGGGACCGTTTTAGGGGGACTACTACTAGTATAGACAAAATGCAATGATTGTCGTGACGTTGCCAAAATTCGTTGCAGTTGTTTCCTATACGGGTATATGCATATAAGTGAATGGATAGGGATAGAATAAATGTGTGGCGCGCAATGGGAATGCCAGGCTTTCATGCTTTCAGTTCCATAAAATATTTGCTAACGTACTTAACTTTACTTTGAAATAAAATGATGTTGCTTTGCAGCGATTTAAATATGGAACTTAAAATGCTAGTAAATAAATTGACTTTTTTTTATCTTTGCGAGTTTTTCTGAAATATAAAAGTGAGCAAAATTATGGTAAGAGTAGAGAACGGTAGAGAACTGGATGAACGATATTGTCTAACATATGTATATTTGCCATTAAGAAGAAGATATCTTCGAATATTTTGCTTGTTAAATCTATTGGTCTTCATATAGTATGTAAATTTAAAGTTAGAAATTGAAAGCCACGAGTATGTGTTGAGTGTGTTCAGTAGTTGTGTGTTTTCTTGTCTATATACCGTCGCATATTTATAGTATTCAGTATAAGAATGCATGTTTGCAGAGTTCATACTTTTTGTGATATCCTTAATGTTTAAAATATAATATATTCTATAGTCACCGTCTCTTATATCGTGAGACCACAACATGCAGTCCTCAGACTACTGCAGGATTCGTTTGCAGGATGGTGTAGGCATCCAGTTGGTTTGAATTCTGATTGTTTTCGAAAAGAGCGACGCAAATAACGAAAAAGCAGTACAAAATGGCAGCCTTTGCTGCATTTTAAGTATAAATAAATAACACGAACAACATCTGCCAGATCTTTCACAAAAAATACATTTTCTATGGCCAATCAAGCATCCAGTTGGCTTAAATTCTGATTGTTTTCCAAAAAACACCCACGGCAATAGCAAAAAAGCGCTACAAAGCGCTACAGACCTTTACTGCATTTTAAATATAAATGAACAGCACGAACAGCCTCAGTCAGATCTTTCACAAAAAAGTATATTTTCTACGGCCAATTAAGCTAACTAGCTATAGTTGCAGAATCATAAACAAATAAGTCAGGCTTCATTATGCATGGAAGAATTACTATAAATATTTATATGTGTTCTTTGGAACAGAAAGCCAGCCTTTTCCAATAAAAGACGTATGTTTTCAGTCAATTTATAAAATTGCTTTCAAATTTGTTTGTTTGTAAACAGTTTTGTGGTGATACAATACTTAACTTAACAGAATACAGACCAACAAATTATGGCGAGCCTCGCCATAAAGGAAAGTGAAAATCGTGCAGCTGCTATAAAATCAAATAACCATCAACTAATTTGCCATAAATTAGCGAAATAAAAAATGCACTTCATGCCCTGTCATGCCATTTTATTTCAGAGTAAATGTTTGCTGACAAGTCCTTTCAACAGTTGATGTTTGCGAAAACATTTCAACATTTCAACAATCTGGCGGAAGTACACAAATTTTCTGAATAGTTGACAAGCAACCACAGGCCGCGTCCGTATAGCCCAGATAGAGGAGAGCACAGCAGACGAAGAAAGCCAAACGCATGCTGAAGTAAGACTAACGGCTTTAACGCTTATTTCTACGAAAACTACATTCTCGATGTGTTCAGGAGGGCGTGACAAATCAGTTGGTTGTGGCTATAAGCCCTTTTCAGCATTAAAAGTGTGCTAAACTGCAAAACAAATTTGAGTTGCAAGAGAACTTAATCTAGAGATATTGGGCTTAGTATTTATGTAGACTTGCAGCTAATTCAATTCAATATCAATAATAAATCATGGATATGTATAATTGTGTGCCTCTGAGTGTCTGAGTTATTTATAGCCACTTAAGGCAGGAGGACGAGGAGGAGGAGGAGGAGGAGGTGTGTGTTTGTGTTTATGAGAGAGAGAGAGAGAGAGAGAGAGTGAGAGAGGGGGAGAGTCGTGGGCCTACTTAGCAGCTTATTACCATTTTGCTGTCTGACGTGTGTTTCTGTCAAATTGTTGTTATTATTGTTGTTGTCATGTTGTTGATATAATATATTGTGTGTGTGTGTGCTGTGGAATGTTGTTGTCTGTTGTTGTAAATCATAAGTTTTGCATGCATCATAGCTATAAATAAACACCTTGAAGCCAAAAACAAGAGAAAACACATAAATATTATTATAGCTAAGTGTAATAATAACGCACCCCAAAACACATTTCAAACACACATACATACATACATGCCAACAAATATATACACACACATACATATGTTGCGCTATCGTACGAGTATGTGGCAGCAATGAGTGTTGAATGGCGCACATTGTTGCTTCAGTTGTAATCAAAATCAAATATAAATCATATTTGCGGCGCACACGTACACACATACATGTGCGTGTGTGTGTGTGTGTGTGTGTGTGTGTGAATTTAACAGAAATGTAGCTGTAAAGCGCTGCTGACGTGCCATTCATGCATAAGCGCCATAAATCGTAAGTTTCGCACCGCCGCAAAGTATGCTATGAAATTTTTTAAACACACTCACACACTCTCACACACGCACATGCAAAGCTGCAATCCGTCTTTGAGGCACACGCTGAGCACTAACAACTCAATTTATTTTCTACTCTGACCTGATATCCAGATACGCATCGTCTTTCTTTGCTGGCTACCCTGGATATTGCGAATGAGTCGTCCGGGTCGACCGCTTATATTGGAATTCCCCACGACGCCCTGCTCGGACACATCGAGCGAGCGTAAACATCAAATACTCTCCGATGTTGAGCTGAAAGAGCGGTATAATTTAGCCAGAGGCTGTGCCACTGCCCCACTTGTAGTGCACGATCCATTAACATTCTCTCTTAATCCAATTCAAGCTCCTCGAAGTCTCTGCTGGCCAATGTGCTGGACATCGATGATGATTTTCGCCACAATTGCCGACCCATGACGCCCGGCGGCACACTTCCACACAATCCAGCGTTCTATCGCACGGTTTATGGGTATATTTTTGGACATATATATAGCAATCTATTAAGCATAAACGTCTAATCCATTTAATCTTCCTGTTCCTGTCCGTATATATATATATAGACAAGGCGATGACGGCAGTATTGGGCCCATTGGGAGCACTCGCATGCCCGACGCTGTCACGCATCACACGTGCATCAAATCATCAACAGATTATGAATTAGGTTTAATTTTAAAGGAAATACGTTTTATCACTGATCAGGTAAGTTGTTCGTTCGATCTCAGAGACAATCTCTCCACAATAAATTGTCATCGCAAGTATACACGTATTATGAGCATTCATTAAAGGAACACACTATAGACAATATTTAAAAATTGCAGTAAGAGAAAATTTAAATATTAAGCCACTCTCCTTTTAGTTTTCATTACAAAAAGACAAGACAGGCTTGTAATATTTTATTATTATTACAAGTTATTTTAAATATTGAAACATTGAAACAATACTTTATGTTGCTGTGCTTATATTTAGCGCTAGAATACAATTTTCATAGATTGCAGCATTTAATTTATTTCAATTTGGTTTCCTAAAATTCTTTTTAATTGCTTATTCATGGTATTATTTATTAAAAACACTAGAAAATAGAATATTCTTTTTTTTGACAGACAGACTGAACTGTAAATTCTTCTTTTCAACATATTTATAGGAGGACATTTTTTTTTTGGTTTTTCACATTTTAAAAGCGCATTAAGATACTCTGCTTTTAGTTTCCTTTAAAAAATTCAAGACAGGCTTTTAATGTTTTATTATTATTATTAAAATTTCTTTAAAATATTGAAACATTAAGCAATACTTTATGTTGTTGTGCTTATATTTAGCGCTAGAATACAATTTTCATAGCTTGAAGCATCTAATTTATTTCAATTTGGTTTCTTAAAATTATTTTTAATTTTTTTATTCTTAATATTCTTTTAAAACTATAATCAGACACACTGGAAATATAAAATATTTCTTTTTTGATAGACAAACTGAACCGCAAGTTTTGTTTTCATATTTATAGGAGAACATTTTGGTTAACATTTTATAGTTGGTTTTTAACATTTTAAAAGCGCATGCTTCCTAAATACTTTAAGAATTCGCAAACGAACATTTTTATAACATTTTCTAACACTGCACCTAGCCCTAAGTAAATACCAATTAGTACTGTATTCCGTACTTAGCGCCAATAAGTTTGGAGTACAAGATTTTATATTGAAAGGCATAATATTTTTATCACGAAAATGTGTTTGTTTCTTTTTCTCTCCACACTCCACCCATAACAATAAACAATAAACGATATGCAATCAATTGAAACTGAATACTTAAATCGAACAGCTACGAAAAGAAGACGAGGACAATGACATTGCCAATGATTGGAAATTTGCAGCTATGGTCGTTGACAGACTGTGCCTTATCATATTCACAATGTTCACAATATTAGCCACAATAGCTGTACTACTATCAGCACCACATATTATTGTCTCGTAGCCATATGGGCGAGGTGGTTATTGTTATTGGTTTTATTATAAAATCAATTTGTTAATTATTAAATTAATAACGAAACTTTTTAAGTAAATTTAAATACGATAAAAAAATCAACAAAAAAAGAGAAAAACACTTGCATAAAAATTAAACTAAAATAATACCACAAAAAATATATAAAAAAAAAACCAAACGTCTCTTAAACACAATAATTTAAAATGAAATGAAATGAAAATTCATCTAAACAAGTCTTCATTAAACCGAAACCAAAAACAATTTATGGACTTTCTCCAAATTATGTACTAGAATTATTTACAAATTTTTAATTCCAATTTTCCCTCTTCTATATAAAATACTAAAAGAAAAGCTAAAAAAAAAAAACGAAGATATATATAAATATAAAGACAAGAACTAAGAGTGCAAACGATACTTCGCTTAGCGCAAGTCCAAACCAGCATCAGTTTCTTCCATTTGAAGTATTTGAAGAAAGAAGCAACAATTAAACGGGTACCCAACATTTTTTATATTATTATATTTTCGATTGGGATTATATGCAAAAGCTTATGTGAAATAGACTTTGAAGAGAGTGCAGGGTAACATGTTTTGCTTGTCAGTATTTAAAATCATTTCCGAAACTCTATAGTTTTTTAATTTTATAAAGAACCAGCGAAGAACTATGAGAATACCTCGATCGAGGTAGCCGGATGGCGACAGAGTGCGTATGTTCAATGAATTGATGGAAAACTTTTGATACTTGTTACTTTTGATAGCTTTTTTCGACAAATATTTAGCAATATCGATAGTAGTTCGGTACTTTTTAAGATTTTTAAATGCATCATTCAACTTTTCCTTTGCCTCTGTCACAGTCTTAGGATCTAATCACAGACACAGAATTGAATAACTTCAAGGTACTGCACATCCAAAAAGAAAAACAAAGAGAAGAAAAAGAAACCCTAAAACCCTTAGACCTGTCTAATAATTAATCGAATTGCATGCCTGTTTTCTTTTAAACCCAGAAACTAAACTCCCGAAAAACTAAAAACGAAACCCCAGCTAAATGCGTATACAAAACCAATAGAATAACCCATCCAGAATCAAATCAAAACCAATTGGAATTACAAAATTTATTCAAAAGACAAAAAGCACAAATATAAATGAAGAAGATAAATGATTTAGTAGGGAAAAAATATTTAAAAAAAAAAGAAAAAACTACGAAACCAAGCCCTATGTGCACGGCAAATGAAATGCGCTTTTTGCATTGCATTTGGATGTGAACCGCACAGATCGTAGCTGGAAAAGCAAAATTGAAGCAAAAGCAAAAGAAAACAAAAATAGAAATGACAAAAAATTGAATGGCTGCGAGCAATAATATCTGCGTGTTGATGAATTGCATGATTTTTTGGTGATGCAAACGGTGATCGATCGAACTATTGTTCGTCAGCAACAAGAGTTCGCTCCTTCACTGCATTGAGAACAGCTCTAGGACTTTTGAAAAGGCTAAGGCGATACATATTTTTCAACTGCCAACAACAGCAATAATAACAATAACAACAGCAACAGCAGCGATTTACTGATTATTTCCATATTCTTTTGAAGCCTTCATTTCTCTGTTCCATTCATTTTCCATTATTATTTTTATAAAACGTAAAATAGTTGAAACTATAATAATATCTAATACAATATTTTAAAAAACCACACCAAGACGCGCGATTCAACAACAACTCACAAAAAATAATAATCGATACATACAACAAATACCAAATACGAAATACCAATTTCCAAAATACAAAATACCAATTACCAAATACGAAATACCAAATTGCAAGATATTTGGCCAATAACAATGATTATCGGAGATCCATTGAAACAAATGACATGCCGGTGCTTGGCAAATTATGTGCTTTGCTTTTGTATTGAGCACATAGACATACATAAGACACACACACACACACACACACACATACACTCAACCACACCCACAATCACATATACTGAGAGAGCTTTATACATATATATATACTTACATATATATATATATAGTTCGTGAGCATTTTTTATTATGCTCGCGCATTTACCCAAAAGTGTTCTAACGAATCACTCCTTACATTAGCGTGCCACCACTTGTGGCATGCAACATGCTCGCACTCACTCGAGCATGCCTTACAGTATGTTACTGTCCAAAACAAGCTGAGCACACAATTTCTATAAAAAACAAAACAAAAAAACAAAAACAATGCACACAAACAAAATCTTAAAAATTAACAAAAACGCATGCGAATCATTGCGATTGCATAGAAATGGGGAGTGCATTCAAATGAGTGTCAATATTTAAATAATTTCTATCGATCGACTATTCCTCTGTTCAAATAGTAATTAAATTTGATTTACATAAATTAATTGCACTATTAATAGTGCCTCTGTTTCAAAATACTTGTATTCGAATGTATTGATAGCATTGGGAATTTTGATTTCAAATTGAATAGTGTTGAGAGTATTGGAATTATGGAGTTCCATTCAGATTTAACAACAAACTGCATTCAAATGAGTGTCAATACCTAAATAATTTCTATTCATGCTTTAGCGGATTATCTATCGACAATTCCTCTGTTCAAATAGTAATTAAAATATGATTCACTACAAATGGGAAACTATTTTATGTTGTTCGAAATTGGGAGTATTGATTAAGAATTGAATTGTACTGAGAGTATTGGAATTATGGAGTTCCATTCAAATTCTCAATAGTTTCTTTGTTCAACAGTACTCCAGAAAAACCAGAGAGTAAAATATATTCAAGCATATTCTATTCTATTATATTCTATTCATCTGATTCATCGTCGATAATTCAACAAAATTCCCCTTCAAATATTATTTTCATTCGATACCAAATGACTATTCATTACTATCGATTATTTAAGACTCCTTCAAAGGAGTAATTCAAAAGCTTTTCTCTCCCAACACTTCTCCGACTCTCTACTCTGCAGTCTCCAGTATGCAGTGCAGAGGAGAGTGGCGCAGTTATCGATAGTCCACCAATCATAAAAATGTCGATAATTTAATAAAATTCCCCTGCTAATATGATTTTCATTCGATATCAAGTACTATCAAGTTCATATCAAATATTTAAGACTCCCCCAAAGGAGTTACTTTCTCCCAACACTTCTCCGACTCTCTGCTCTGCACTCTCCAGTATGCCTCCGAGTGATTCATTTGCCTCTAAACAAATGAAAACATAAACTGTTTTAAATTGCAAGCAGTTGCAATTTTTTTCTTAACGGAAAATAACGTCGAATGGTTTTATTTTTAATTTTTAAGTTACAGTTATTCTGCTTCTAATTGTAAATCTTGTGCAATGAAAACAATCAGAATTTTTCTTTGAATATAAACGTCAAGAGGAAAAGAAAATGAAAAATGAGAATACCACAGCAAGAAGAAGAAGAAGAAGAAAGGCAAGCCATCGCGTTTGTAAAAAGAGAATAAAAGCTATAACTGAAATAAATATCAGCAACTTTAGCAACTAAATAAGAATTAAGCCAATTCTGTTGGCGAACAATTAGACTAAGCTACACAAATTACCGATAATTAAGAATCTATCCAAGAGCTCGAGAACAACAACAACAAGTATGTAGAAGACAGGGGAAGAACAACCAAACAAGGAGAAGCAAAACCAACCAACAACAAATAAACAAACAAACAAAAAAACAAAATATATACGAGTACATATAGCAATAGTTTTACAATATTTATGTGTAAACATTAGTTTGTACTTAAACGAGTATTGTAAGTGAGGGAGATCGCAAAGGCAACAACAACAAAAAAAAAAGAAAAACAACAACAAGAAGAAAGAACAAAGGACAAAAGGGAAACCTGTTTTGTTTTCGTAGTTTTTGTATAATTTTTGATTCAGACTTTGTAAGCATTTTATTGTACACACAAATTTTAGACAGATTTTACGCAAGAAATTTGAAAACTATACAAACAAGTCGCACGGGCATTTGTTTGAGCAAATGGTAGATTTTGTTAACGACTCTTTCGAGACCCTCTTTTCCTTACGATTATATTTTAGAACACATTTTCAACTGTAGTATTTTTTAGGCGATCCGCATCAGCAAATCGGGCAAGCATGTAACAACTTAAGGTTTAGCTTTTGATAATAAAAAAAACTTAAACAAATTAAATTACAAAAACGCTTAAAGAAGACAAGAAAATCGCAATAAAAAAGAAAACCGGGATGAGGTATGCTTCCGTTTATGTTATGCTTCCGTTGGGGATAGTTTTTTAGACTATTTTCTAAACTCACACTCTCTCAAATTTTGCAATACAGTCTAGAGTCTAGAGTCTTTCCATTATATTTCTATTTGGGAATGCATTTTGTGTTGAGTTTGTATGCCAAGTCGATGAGAGCGAACATTTTAAAATGCTACACGATAAGAGTGAACAAAATAATAGGAAACATGCTGCCATTATAAGAAATTAACACAATAATTAATTTTAATAGCTCCACAAATGTCTGCTCATTTTTCTGCCAGCTAGTTACAGTTTAAAGCAGCGCCGATATCGAACTCGAATTAATGAAAGAAACTCTACATATGCATGTATGTAAGTCAGTAAGCAGGGAAGCAGTGAAGCAGTTAAGGCTCGGCTGCCTCTCCAATTGGAAGTTAAGAGCAGTTAGCAAGCAGTAAATACCTATAAGCAGTTTTTAAATGAAGCAAAATACAAGAAATAGTTTTAAAGAGGAAATAGCAAAGCTCCCCCCACTAAGATGCTCCGAAGAAGTGGAAACTGGAAACTTAAAGCGGAACTTAATAAAACACAGCAGTTGTTTGCAGTTGAATCGATTTATAGTAATGGAGAAATGATCCAATTTATAGCGCATTAAAGGAGGCATTTCTTTCGTCATACACGCATACATTCAAGTACATACACACATGCATACATACATACATACTTGCATATATATTTCTTTTTTACGCAGAACAAGTATATATTACATATATAGCATACTAAATACGAGTATAATATTTGACAAATATTTGAGCGAATGACGAACTTTTTCCTAAAACTAGTTGCATTTAAAGTGAATTTTAAAATATACATAAAAAGTATATATTTATTAAAAACAAACAAAAACGAAAACAAAACAAAACAAACCAAGCTCCTTTCTCTATTGAAAACACAAAAGCGAAACAAACTTTAAAATACAATTTAATTAGTCATTTAATAATAGTTAAAAAAAAAACCAAACAAAATAAGAAAAAAAAAACAACACGAAAAAAAGAAAAACAGATACAGTCAAGCGAAGAAAAAATCGTAAACTAGTAAATATTAAAATTAAATTAAATTAATTTTAACAATGAAGAAACCCAAAAAGAAATGCGCTGATTTTTTATGTCGTTATTAGTATTTAAATTCAAAATAATTGAACATAAAAACGTAATGAATTAAAAGCAAGACAAAAAGTATTAAATAACAAATTAGAAACAATTGAAATCGGTCATTTTGACCTGAATAGTAAATTATAGAAAGGAAATAAACAATTGAAGGCAAGCCCGAAACAAAACGATTGTAAAATTTTAATTATTATTATTCAATAATAAAAAAAACAAATACCAAAAGAACGATTTGACACAAATACCAAAGCAGAACAAAACAAATAACAAAACACAAAGAGTGAGAAGCGATTTTATTTCATATCCAACGAGCAAGTTATTTCGTTGCTTCTGGGACTGTTACTGGGGACGGACGCGGATCCATGCACCCTGCGGCGGCCTCTGCAGACAAGCAAGGTAAATCGGCGCTAGCGCTAGGCTACTACTATATATTGTCTAAGTACCATCACCTAGTTGCCCATAGCAACAGCCAGGGGCAGTGTAAAATACATAATATACTACATACAAGTACAACTCTATACATAAAGCAGGTCGTTCCAATATTGTAAATACTCTTTAGCCGACTAACAATCATGCCACACACTCATCACATCACGCTGCCATACTTCATTGCCACATCTAAGGCCTATTTGAAGGCTGCTGAAGTGAAGGCCACGCCCATCCGAGCGACTAAGTTGAACGAAAAATGTGCGAGGGCGGTTCAGAACTCCAATTCAAATGCAACCCTGTCTCCATGCATCCAATCAGCGACACTTAACATCGATAGGTGGAGATAGCATCACTGTTCGGAACGTAGCAGATATGCATCTCAGACAATCAAAGGGTTAATAGTGGGATCAGTGAAGGAACCGCCTCACTGTTCTGCTTTAATAGTAGGATCAGTAACTGATCTTAGTCAAAGAATTGCACAGCAATTAGCTTAAAATCGTCCACCAATGTTAAATACTTATACCAAGTACATATATATGCCGCTTTAATAGTGGGATCAGTAACTGATGAAACGGATCTCAGTCAAAGAGTTGCAAAGCAATAAGCTTTAAGTCGTCAAGCAATGTTAATACTTATACCCAGTATTTATACATGTTCGTGAAGGAACCACCTCACTGTTCGGCCTTAGTGCTGGGATCAGTAACTGATTCAACAGATCTCAGTCAAAGAGTTGCAAAGCAATAAGCTTTAAATCGTCAAGCAATGTTAATACTTATACCCAGTATTTATATATATTCGGCTTTAATTCTGGGATCAGTAACTGATGCAACAGATCTCAGTGAACGAGTTGCAAAGCAATTAGTTTAAAATCGTCAAGCAAGTTGATACTTATACCAAGTATGTATACATATGTAATTGGAGGAACCGCCTCACTTTAATGCTGGGATCAGTAACTGATTCAACAGATCTCAGTCAAAGAGTTGCACAGCAATTAGCTTAAAATCGTCAACCAATGTGTTAATAACGTACGTGGAGGAACCGCCTTCGTTCTCATTTGCCTTCAACCAATCAACCAATCAACCAAGTTGCTTCACTACAGCAGACCCACTTGCCATTTATGTAGAAGATCGTGTATTAAAGCGAACCTAGTGTACTCCATTAAGTCAGTTAAGTAACTAACCATAGCGATAACTCGAGTATAAGTCGCAGCCAACAACAAACAACAATCAAAGAATAACAGGAAGCAGAAGAAGAAGAAGAAGAAGAAACACAATGCTCGTATTTATATTCAAAGTGGTAAAAATTTCACATCGCGTCAGAGATTCTGACATTTGCATTCAAAGCAGAAAACAGAAATTTTACGCAAAAATTCTGATGCCTCGCGCAGTTTGTCAACAACCAGCTAACGTGTACGTAATATCCCCAGACTCTTCCCCACAACGATCTCTCTCTCTCTCTCTAACGACAGCAAACTAAACTGAATTTGATTGTAACGCCAAATAAATAATAATAAATGAAATAGCATTTGATCAGCCAAGAAAAGAGCAAGAAAAGAAAATCACCATTGACTTTAAAAGTGGACTCTGCGTGTATGTATGCAAGTATCTTTATCTTTACTTGGTTATTTATAGTCTTAACTGTCCATCGATTACTAGAAATTGTTGACAATCTCCACTGAATCCGAAGCTCTTCCCTCTCTCACCCACTACTTACTTCTTACTACTTTATAAACGTACTCGTATTTCACAAATTTCGGCATGATTTCTCTCTTTTCTCCTACTACTACTACTTTCGGTTCCACTCTCAAAATTATAGACTCATAGCTAGATACTCCACTAGATCAGCAAACTATTCATTACTCTGCACTCTGCATTGCAATTTTAATTCCCATTTAATCTGCATGCCAAAACCGACACATTATTATTACATAATTATTCAGTAATTAGTATAGAGAGTAGCGATCCATTGCAATAGTTCACTAATTATACATATAAATATATATATTTTCTCAACGTCTGACGTCTGTCTCCCCTGCGAGTTCAAAAAATCGGACCAATGGCAGGTAAGTAAGCATTTGTATTAAAAAAGCCGCGCACTGATCAACAACATGTATATCCTTTTGTCTATTTCCAAGCCCATGACTGATTACGTTTGAAGTGGACCTAAAAAAGGAACCAAGCCTGATGGAAACAACCTCCTTCACTGCTTAGCTCTAACTATATTGTAGAAAGTGTTCAGTTCTTCCAAAAATAGTAGACAATACGATATATTTGTGACTAATTTATGAAGTAATCGAATCAGATGCTTTACTTTGTTTATTATCTGAAAATAAATATTATAACGTCTAAATGAAATACGTGCTATTTATTTTAGAGGGGAACAATTCTTTTTTCAGACGGTTCAGGAAGAAATAAATCCAAACTTAAAGCAAAAGTCCCTATTCCCGTTTCTGCATTTCTAATTCCAGTTAAACAGTTATTCAAATCTATTGAACTAAAAGTCTAATTATACAAAAAGGTAAATAAAATATCTGATAAATGCAATAAGAAAAGTCCCATCAACATGATACTAGGAATTTTGAAAGTTTGTTTGTTGGCAGGTGTTAAGGAGTAAATAGCGCTCAAAAAATTGTTAAAATTCGGGGCTGCGCCACCTTTTGTTGCTAAGTTAAAGTCACACTTATTTCAATTGTTAGCATCGATATGAAGTTGGTCGATCAACTTTAAAGAAGCTTTCTCGAATAAAGGACAAATAAATATTGTTGTGCGTTAAATGCAATTGAGTTATTCTGTAGGGAATAACGAATTTCCCTCAGAGTTTTAATATATGCCACCCTGCAGACAAAAGCTACTTGCGACGGCACGTGATGTAAGTTCTTATATTTTCTGGCAGATGGCGGAAGGATAACACTAAATCCACCACAGTTTTGAAGTTTTAATAGCAAGCTAGTTCACAATATTGTATGAAATATATATATATTTATAAGGTAAAAGCTTTTCTCGACATTGCAACATGAGGAAAACTCCGCAGTTGAGTTGAATATTTCTACTCAAAGCTTTCAAACCTTAAACTTCAGACAAACCGTTCCTTATTCGTTAATTATAAAATTTGATGACAGAGGGCGACAGCAGCACCACAATGGATATTGTAGTGTGAATTCACCACAGCGTCAAAGCTCGAACAGCAGAAAACAAGCAGGAAATGAATTCAAGATACATATGTATATGTAAAAATTGCACTATAAGCTCATATTAATCATTTTGTAATACTTACGAATGTGGATTACGATTAATATTTCCGATGAGTGGTTTCGTCTGACACAGCTGCAGTGCAACTCTGCTCTGGGCGTGCTGCCAGACTTTCAGTTTATTTTGCTTGTCCCCGCTTGGCGCCCTGTGCAAATTTTACAAAATTTTACGAAAAGTGCTTAAATGAAAAGCTTTTCTAAACCGTACTCGCTAATCGCGTATTGATTGCGATTTTGACCGGAAACAGGCGGAAAAGTATAGAAGCAGCTTATATTATAATTATCAGGTTGCTTTGCAGCACAAAACGTTAAATTACATGCTGTATTGTTGAACCAACTTAGTTATACGAGTAACTCTTCCAGGCTTTGCAACAATATTTCTGAAACAAATAATAATTGTGTAATATTATCAAATTATTAATAAAATATTATAATTTTCATTAATTATGTTGCATTTATAGCCACTTTTCTCAGTCACTCAACTCAAAAGCTTTGACAAAACTGATTTTGTTCATTAACTACACATGAATATTTTGTAGATTCCCCTTTTCAACAATTGTATGCGTGTTTTGGGTCAATTTTCTTAAAAAAATATATATAAAATATGATCCAGTGTTTTTAATGCAAGTTGCTTCTCTTTACTACTACTGTTGAGACACTCGTATACGCACTAAATTTTAAAACCAATTAATAATTGTTTAAAACTTTAAATCTTAAATTTTTTTATATTTCTATTAAAATGACTTCAGCATTTAATGAAGCACACACACATACATATGTATATGTACATATATCTGCGAATAAAATATTACAGCAACTATTCGTAATCGAACGACAATTCTAATATTTTCCAAATATAAAATCCTTTCAACTGTTAATAGTCCAGTTTGGACATACTGTGCCCAAGGGTAAAAAGCTATTCTAATTTGGTGCAAAGGAAAGTATATATACTTGTGATTGGTACAACAGTATAGCCATATCCGCCTGCTCAAGATCTCAAGAATAAGTTAAATTTTAAAGATGCCTCTACAATAATATTTTATCTGTTCATACGGAGATACTTTATTTGACATGCTACGTTAATAGATAAGTATATAATAAATTAAACAGAAGAGAAGAAAATGATTGCAATTAATTAGCTCAATAGATATCATGGGATAAATATCTCCAAAGTAGGTCTTTAAGGGAACATTTAATTGCCAGTCTGCCCAGAAAAGGAAGCAACGTCTATAATCTATTTGTAAATTGAAACGACGCCTAGGATAGTCGCACCTATTGCTAATGCTGATGGAAGACTTACAAGCAAAACCTTGCTTAAGCAAAACAAAGCTTAAACTTAAGCCAGGGAGCGTAAAAAGTGGGAGCAACTATGCACATCTTGAAAAGAACAATCTTTTTCCAGTTGTTCAGACAAAATGGTACCTTACAACCTGCATTTAAACGAGGAAATACAGTGAAAACTCCCTTAGTAGACACCTCTTTTATCCGGACACTCTTCTCGGCGGACACTTTTCTAAAACATTCCATCGGTGTATAAAGTATATAAATATCCCCTTAAATATCCCCCCGGACCATGAGAGTTTTCACTGTAATTGCATGCAACTGAATAAAAATATATATCCAGAACCATTAAAAATGTGTATAATTAAAAACAAATATGAAGACACAGGTTACTCTACAATTTTGCGTTAATAATAAAATTATGATGGGGTGTGAGAAAAACTGAGCCTAGCTTGGTTGAGCAGTGGTTTCAAAAACAATCATAAACAAACCTTTTAACCTTCGATTTGGTTTCTTGCTTTGCAGCTTAAGCAATGAAGTGCCCTCCCCCTCAAAAAAAAAAAAAAAAAAAAAAATGGCAATTAAGGCGAGGAATCATTTATTTTAGCAACACACAGCACTCGATCTTCATTTAACCAAAGCAAACAAAAATTCTAAAGCATCATTCACTTTTTTTTATTTTAAATATGTTTCAATTTTTTCGCACATAAAACGCGAATACAAAGGCCTCTTCCATGCACAATTCTACGTGAGCCTACACAAAGGGGCACACACACACACACACATGCACAGAGAAATTTTAAAGCTGTTTGCATGCAGTTGATGTGATTGTTGTTGTGTCTATGCCCCTCATTCAAATGCAACAACAAAAGCGAGCAACGAGCGGAGCTTTCTGCTTCCCTCAACCCCCCACCCCTAGCCAACCAACACTCTTATTATAGAGCGTGTGAAGGATGCAAATCAACTGTAATCGACAAAAGCAACAACAACAGCAACAAATTTGCCAGCAATGTAGCAAAAAATTGCATAGCAAATACTCAAACCCATGTTGCTGGGCAAATACTCAAACCACAATGTTAGAATTCAGGCCCAGCTCTGTTAATGATAATATGGAGGTTGCTCTTGTTGTTGTTGTTGCTGTTTTAAATGTTTGAACTTTTTTTTTTGATATTTCGATTCGCATTGCAAAAATTTGGTGCGTAAAAAATAAAAGTAGCTGCAACAACAACAACAACAACAAAATGTACGCATGCAACAAACAAAAGCCGCTTACATGCATTTATATACTTATGTCCGTGAGTGCGTGCGTGCGTGCGTGCGTGCGTGCTTGCGTGCGTGAGTTTGTGTGCTTATATACATAGTTGCTGCTTATATACTCGTACATTAAAGCTATGTACAAGTCAGCACAGAATACACACACAACACACCAACAATAATAACTACAACAATAACAACAATAACAATCGCAATGCAATGCTTCGTTAGTTGTTGTTGTTTTACATACATATGTATGTACATATCTATGTACATACATATACACAGTCTGTCGTTAGCTGTACTGCTCAACTGTCCAACAGACCCAATAGCTACATACTTACATACGAATGGTATATATGTATGTATGTATGTGGATGCAGCGCCTAGTGTAAAGTATATAATTAACGGCCCTTACATATGTACAAAGCATGCGCGCACATAAGTGCCCATGTACCTTCATAGCTGCGCCCTTGCCACCCACCCCTTGCCGTTCCCCCCACCCTTCGACACCTACCACACCCACCCAGAAGTTCGCGTACGCCCGCGTCATTTAAGCCTCATCATCCATTACGTGGGATACATAAAGTAAATGTCAAAAGCGCCGCTTTACACACCCACACACTCAAACAACACAAACATCGCTGACTCTGTTGTTGTTGTTGTTGCTGTTGTTGTTGCTGTTGTTATTGCTGATGAGCGGACCACCCAAAAGTGCAGCAGGCGTTAGGCCTCAGAGGCTCGTCTTGCACGCCCCTCGTCTTCTTCATCTGCTTACAAGACCCCCCTCCACCCCCAACATCCTACCCGCACAAAATCTGTGCCTACCTCAACCTCAGCCCGCAAGCAGCTGCATTTAAACTACTCACCATAAGTATGTGGACGTAAGTTTAACCAAAGTATATAAGGCAGTTATTGAGAGAAGTCTTTGTGCCTGGCTAGCTATTTGTATCCCCAATGCTGTAAGTTAATAAATTATTTAACCACTTTTACGAATAACTTGGTTTATTTTTGGACTCCAAATTGAACTCTAAAATAACAACTCAATACGAATTATTCTTTATAATTATCTTCGGGGAAGTCTCTGACCACTGGTTGCTATGAGTTTTTCCCTAACGGGTTGGAGATTTCCCTCTCTCCCTTTCCGACTTTCTCTTTCCAACTGTCCCTTTCCCTGTTTCTCCATCTCTCTTTCCCGCTTTATATTTCTCTTTTCCTCTTTCTCTTTCTACTCCTTACTTTTTCTAATTAGTTCTTAGGTAGAATTAATATTCCTCCTCTACTACCTCCTCCTCTTTGTTTAGTTTGTTAGGTCTATAATGTCTCTGACCACATATGGCTGTGAATCGGGGCATAGCTGGCCAACTGGCAAATAAAATTTCCCCAACGTGTCGTTATTGTACAGCTTTTTCTTAGGCTTTCTTATCTTTTAAGTTTACATGATAATAATTAATTATAATCATATCTTCATTTTAATTTTTATATTATAATATATATAAAATGTTAATATATATTGTAATAATTATAATAGAATATATCGACAGAACTATTGTTGATTTACTAAATAAAATA